ATTTAACTCCATGTCCATGAACTGTATTTGAGTAATGGCAAGAACAAGAAAAAAAATTGTTGAATCAAGGCCTGTTACAAGTAAACAGCTGTAGTAAACAGCTTTATCTGGGTAAAGCTTCATCTAAAATAAAAAGGGCAGATGGAACGGAATGCAGTGTTTGAACAATTAGCCGGGTGGACAGCTGCATGTTCTCACTAGAAGTTCAACTATTACTTCCATATGACTCTATGACTTCGTGCAGGTCATTTCATTTTGAAATGAAAGAAGAAGAATGAAGATTGTATACTCACTTATAAAGATTAAAATGAAGATTATATACTCAGTTTTGTAAGGACAACTCAAATATCTTTGAGGAGTAAGTACTTTTAAGACTGCATGGAACTAGAACTTTCTGGTCTTTCCGTGGAAGATAGTAAATTGGTGGTTCACTTTTACTTCATGGATGACTACAGCGCTCTCAAATTGGAGAAAGCAAAAAACAAGTGCAAAAAAGAATGTTATCTTTTTGAAAAAAGAATCTAATTGGAACTTAGTATGAAATAATTTTTTCTCAGAATATCAGAGATTATTTTACATGTGTGTAAAAATGAATAATCAAAACAAATAGAATTTGGTAATCTTTCTGGCATTTCAATGCCGATGCTGTGCATATGCACATATAATTGCATTCACAGTTAATAACTATCTGATTTATAAACCAAAACAAAACAATCTAATGGAAAAAAATCCATTAATGATTTTTATTTGGTAGCTGCAGACAGCTGGTTTAAGACAACTGTATTGAACTAACATCACTAAGACAGGAAAAAAACCCCTGGCAATTTCTGGCAAGAAAATCATAAATAATTCACTAAGCTGCTCTATGCCCTCACCTCATACAAATTGCCGCATACGTGCTAATGATTCTGCAGAACAGCCATTAGACTTACAGAGCCTCTGCAACCATGTATAAAAAAAATCCCTCCGCTTTCTATATAATGTAATAAAGATGGACATGTCATGATTTATCAGCGGAAGGGCCAGAGACACGGAAGCAGCTTCATGTGCAACGTCTTCTCAAAATTATTGACTGTTTGCAAAAACAATCAACCGACAAATAGTTGGAGACTGCAAAAAAAACCCAACCCCAAACTATACTACGTGGAAGAAAATAACACTGTTAATATCATAAAATCCTTGCATTGTGAATTACGGGCATCCTGTGAGTGATACAATTACAGCTGTTAGTGGTATAATTACAGTTGCAACTGTGCAACAGATGAGAATATGATCTACCCTGAACAGAGCACTGATTATTTATCACCCTGAATTTCACAAAATCTGCTGATACCAAGGCAACATCCATTCTGATGGCAGGTTTTCTAATCTTCACTCAATTTCCATAGATCAGACCTGCTGAATTAACATGAGTAAAAAAGAGCTTGCTTAGGAGTATCTAAAGATATTTTTATAGGTATCTTCATGTGTGTATATGTCTGTCCCTCTCTATACACACAAACAAACACAGAGAAGAAAGTTACTAATAAACACATACCCAAAATTCAGCTGCAAGAAATTAAATGTTCATCATGAAAAAGTGACCTCTGGGGCACAGGCGAGAAGGAAACACTTGAAAAAGCTGTTACAGTGAGGCTATCAAGTAAACAGAGGTATTCTTTCTATTTGAAGCTCTTCCTATGGAAGTTACCAGGCTGGATTGAAGCCTTCTAACGTCTCCCTGCATGAAGCAATTTATAAGTAGCAAGAAACATGTGATAATCTCTTATCATTTTGTGCTGTATTAAGAAATAGCTCACTGATGACTGCTTAGTACATCTAGATATTTTCCTTCCCTTTGACCTTTTATTATCTCTGTTTACTTCCTTTTCAGGAAAGAGACGACAAGAAATGGATTTAGGCATAATTCTTACTTTTGTTCCTCCATTTGTGAATTAAAAAGGGGAAGGACAGTGTGTGGAAGCACTAGGCTCCTTTTCAAATATCAGCGTGAATCACACAGCTGTTGTATCTCTACTAGGAAATGGGGGTTCCCCCTACATTACTCCCCTCCTGGGACTGACGTAAATCAGATTAAAATTCAAGCTTCAACCGCTGACAGCCAAGGTGGAGTGCAACAGAGGTAGGGATTTGGACAACTGGCTTATATTTTAGTAAATGCTTTAAACTTGGCCCTTACTGAAAAGCTTTTCTGCTCTATGGATTGGACAACTCTTCACATTTCCTGACTTCACTCATAGACTTTATTTTTTGAAAAAGCGAGAACGATGTGGTGAAGTTACAAGATTCTAGTTATCACAAATACTACTAACAACTAAGTACTTGCTCTTCTTTTCTGTACTGTGACCAAATTACCTCTCTTGTGGGAAAGGGACAAAGATCATCTGCGTGATTTTGATCTACTTTTAAGAAAAACATAGCGATCATTGTAAGAATGTTGTGTGGGGGAAAAGTGGTAACAAGAAAATGGAAAAGAGAAAAAAGGGCATGTATTTGTATGTTTGTCTTCGTCCTTTCAGAGCTGATTTTCTTCAAGGATTTTGAACACCTACAAAACATTCACTTGTTCTTATTCCCAGGCTTGGCCTGTTGCATGTTGACATGACACCTGTATTTTCACCCTGAAGAAGCAGGTCACCACCTTGTTCACTTGAGCAAAACAAGTAGAAGCACAAACTGGAAAGTCAGGACTATGAAAAGGGCAAACTTTTCAGGAAACCAAATCTGGGCAATTAAAACAAAACAAAATGTTACAAGCAGCTGCACATATTACTCTGCCTCCAGGTCCCCTGTTAAAACTTTTTCATTCTAGAAGAACATCCTCGTTTTTCAGATTTTTTTTCGCATAAAGATAGCCTCAAACTGTAAAAAACGACTATCCCAGAAGGATAGTGACTGCAAAAAAAAGTAACTCTCTTCCTTTTTTAACCTCTAACATAGAAATTTTATTTATAATTAGCAAGTAAAACAATTTTAAAGCACACATTTTTAAACCATCAGAATTCCTTTCGTATTTCACAGTTTAATTAAGCATTCATTTGCTTTCCTCCATTCCTAGTTTATGAAGCTACTCAGACTGGTATCAGTCTTTTGTTAAATTGAAATTTTATCACAGATAAATTGTTTTTAAAAGATGATGAAAAATCAGGTGGACATTTATTGCCAGAATTTGTATCAGTAAGGACAAAGTTGCGGAAGTCTGGACCTGGTGATTAAAGACATACGGAACTTAAGGTCTACCAGGAATGGTGAAGTGAATACATTTTGCTTACTGTTATGATACGTTTAGCACTACCATAAAGGGGCAAAATCCCTATTTCACATGCACACGTAAGATACTTTATGCTGTGAAATTTGGAATGCAGGCACAGCAGTGAGAGACTTCAATCTCTCCAGGGAAGCAACCATCCCTCTGCACAGAACGCGGCATGTGTCCTTGCCAGGCTGGAGGGGTTCACTCTCTGTGCCAAAAGCGGAGCATGGGCCTTTGCAGCACTTAAACTCTGCGCAAAAAGGGACGATGGTGGCACAGGCCTCTGCAGAGTACTACTTTTGCACTTCAGCAGAAAATTGAGGAAATATCCCATGTGATTTTCATAGTGCAGAAGTTACTATAACTGCTGGAAATTTCAAGCCATAATGGCCACATACTGAAATTTTTTTTACCTCTCCTTAGTCTGTTATACACATTCACAAAGATCAGTCATGACCTGTGCTAGCCATACTTTTAGTACTATTTGTATCACCCCAACCAACAAAGCACTCTGATACAGTGGACTAAAACACATCATTTCACTCTGAAACTAGAGTGCAGCAGTGTGAGAAAATCCTTTCTCTAGAGAAGGGACACCAAAGATTTCTGTCACATGTGTGTATGTGTCGGGGAATAGAAGGGAGGAAGGAATAATCTTTAGTAATAAATATGGGCCTCATAACAGGAGATTTTTCAAAACGACTGAAATTAAGATAGTTAACATTCACAAGCTTTAGTATTACAAGAAAATTGCTAGATTGAACTAACACTACAAAATTCGGAATAAACACATTCATGTTTCATTTGTGATGATATTTCTACTGCTCTTGGGCAAGAAATCTAATCCAGAAGTGAGAGATAACCCAGTATTGGTGACACTGGAATAATTCTGACCCTAAAATATACTGATCTAATCTCACTACATGTTGGAGAGTAACCACTTCTGAAATAAAAGGCTGTTTGCTCTCAATGGAATCAGCCATTTCTAGATAATCCTAAACAAAAACAAGGAGGGGAAAACAACCTAAAAAGGAAGAAAAGTTAGTATGAAAAGCAATCTTTTACTTTTGAAAATTCAATTTGTCCCATTTAACTTTTCCAAACATTTGCAGCCTGACTCAAGCTAGTCATCTGCTATTACTCTGAAATCAACAGGAAGACACAGGTACCTACAGAGGGCAAATAATCACCCCTCTCTATCCTAGAATGGAATGATTAGCTATATAGGAGTGTCCTCAGTGCATCCACAGGGAGAATATGTGTACCAATTTTTAGATATCTGGAGTTAGCCAAGATAAATATCACAGCAAAAAATCTTGATGTCCCCTGCAATTCTAAAATTGTACGTATGAGTTCTTTATTAGCCCCAATTTACAAGAAATTGTAGACTCTACATAGAGGATTTGACATTTCTATCATACATTCCCAAATTAAAAGTACTCTCTGCACTATGGGTACCGTGTCTACTGCCTCCTACACCTGCCAAAGCATTATTGCTGGAAGGGATGACAAATTGATATGAATATCAGTTCTGGATCTCTGGGTCGCACTCCCTCTGCAAGTACTCAGTCCAAACACCCTTGACACAGACTATGGGGGTTTGTGTGGGAACTCTTCCCTGGTTCATGGCATAGCATTACATTTTAAGAGAGGGTTATACCAAAGAAAAGGTGATCATTTCAGCTCAAGCAGACCACATGCATGCTGGGAAAACACAGGTTAGGTAAAAGCCATGCAAGTTATATACCTGGTCGTGTGGTGAGTCCTCTGTCTGCAGCTGGGCGGGCATCAACTGGCTCAACTGGGCATGTGCAGAAAAGAAACAAAAAAGCAAACAAAAAATAAACAAAATCCCCCAAAATGATAAAGTCAACTGCTCTTCCGTTGGGACAGTGCAGGAGAGACATACTGCATAAACAAAGTTACCAAAGCAACAGCTAGAAAAGATCTGCCTTCAGTTAAGTCTCTGTTTGGAGACAAAAGGAAGGGACAGGCACGACCTCCAAAGGAAAGCTTCACAGCTGATGTGTCAATTTTACATCATATTCTGGTTACTGCTTAAAGTGAGAAACCATCAAGATGAAAGAATTTCTGTCTATAGAGCAAAACTATATTCATTACATGCAACCAGTTGTCTGATCAGAATTGGCAGCAAGTACAGACATGATGAGTGAGTTCTTGCAGCCAGTCTTGATCAATGCTGACTTATAAACCCACTGAATCCTGACTCCTTTTTCCTTTCAATAGGGATTCTTTACAGCACTAGCTATAAGGTTTGAAAAAAATAAAGCACATTTTGAAAATACAATCAATACTTCATTCTGATATGCTCCGATTCGTAGACAGCAAATTTGTCTTCCAATTTTTGAAAGGGAAGCAAAGGAGAAACACCACTTTCTACCCAATTGTGTGTCATACACAGTTTTAAAACTCTTGTATTACTGTACTAAGGCTTTACCAGCTGAAACCTAAGGTTGGTGGAGCCCACTGGCATTAATAGAAAATAGGATGTGCAAAACTTTTAGAGCTCTTTGAGTCATTACCTACTACCTCGGTTAAGTCCAAACTGAACATATTGGAGAAGTTCATTAAAACATTCAGATTTTTTCCCCCCTCTTTTGCTCCAATACTGTTGCCTTCCTTATCTACCCAAGTGCCACTGTCAGAAAGAAATTAAATTCAGAAAAAAAAAATTTACGTTATAGCTTGGAATTCAGAATTTTTAAAATAAGGTATTCTCATTCATTTGAATTTCAGGATTCAAGTAGGAACTTTCTAACCAGCAGTAAGGGAGCCACAATAACATAGGAAACCTGACAAAAGTACAGTTTTCAATCATGAACTGCTCATCTTATTCAGCATCAGAAAATCACACTAGCCTGACAATACTGCTGACTTAAGCAAGGAGACTGCCCACCTTCTTAGGAAGTCTGTGTCACTTGCTTAGTGTTCCTGTGGGTTTGACAAACAACCTACCATGCTTGTGAGTGAGAGCCTACGTGGCACCCATGCCCTTTGTACACAGGTGATGACTGCGATAGCTCCTGCCTCCGGAAAAAAGCAGTAAGTCAGCTTTGTAGTAGACTAAAGTGCATCTGCACATCCGACTTGCTTGTGTTTCCAGAAGGGCAAAATTTTCACAGAGCTTGCTGGTCTGGTGCTGCAGAGTCAAGCCATCAAAGCACTTTCCTTCACAGCAGTTCAGAGTGGCACTAGCAGACCATGTAATTGCTTTCCTTACATAGCGCTGTACAAAAACCAATTTCCATCCTTAACTAAAAACTACACTTATGAGTATTTTACTATTTAAGCCTTCTGCTAGGTTTTCCAATATTGCTGGCACCAACCCTCAGGTAGGTCAGTGCAGTAATTTTCAGTAGAAAGGACTGAAGGAAAGAAACAACCAAGGACCAACATTACCCAAACTGCTCCTGCAGAACCCTCCTCTGTCGCCCTGGCCCCTGCCTTGTTCCTAGAAGGCTGAGGAGTTTTATTTCCTTCTTGCTCAGCACTCTGTAACCCGACATGCCCATAGCTATGGCGAACTGAAAGAGCAGGTTGTGGGTAGCAATAAAAATGGGAGTAGGTGAAGGGAGAAAAGGATGGAAGAAATTTCTGTTGTACAGTAGCATGGACCTGACCTCAGGGTAATGAAGTATTTTGTAGCGTTAGGTGAAAGTATTAATAATGAACAAGTCTTCTTGTCATCTATAGTTCTGGAAGCACTTCACAGGGGAAAAGGCAAACATTACTGGCACATTTCATAACTGACACAAAAGTGAAACGACCTGCTCAAGGTCACAAACCAGTTGCAGGGCACAAACTGGAGGCAAAAGCTCAGAGCCAAGGTGTCTTCCAAAGCAGATCGTGATTCCAGGCACCTAAGTGCAGCATGCCCCGGGCAGCACAACACAAAGAAAGGCTTGTTTCTGGAGAGCCCTGAGCTGCCACCTTTTGAATTTCAGTTGCATTTTAAAACCTGCTTGCTCTTGCCCCGGTATTGATGTATGCACAAACAGCGGTTAACTCTGAAAAATCTTGTCCGTGGGCTTCCTCATTGCCTGCCCCACTGGACCACACTGTCTCACAACAGTTGATATAGAGGGGAAAAGTTTACACCTATTACAGTATTTATCAATAATAAAAAAACTCTAAGATGTACTGTGAATTATTATAAAATGCATTCCATTTGATGCTCCAGAACCATATTTCTCTTGAACACACTTCTATGTGCACAGAAGTACACAGACTAAGACTGAAAATTTATTTTCCAAATAGCCTCACAAATCTAAATTGGTAGATATCTGCTTACGCTGACTATGCAGGCTTCATACACGGTACGCATCCCACCTTATATCCAATGCTAATACATCTCAGAAGAGCAAGAGAGAATGTGGGTTGCTTCTCTTTTCAAAAATAAAAGAAAGGTGAATCAAAAAGCTCAAAAGCTGGTACAAAGCAGCAGTGAGACGTGATGCTCACCTACCAGGAACAGTGTTGAAGGGAGTAACTGGCCAAGTCATAAGGATAACACAGTACATTCACAAAAATCTCACTTTAGATAAATACTTTGTCACTAAGGCTAACTGTAACTGCATGGTAAAATACAAAGGGTAAAACACTGAACCCAGTTAGTCACTGGCAAAATTCCCAGGGACCTTGGCAGTGTCAGAGCTTCACAGCTGTTGGGGTTTTGCCCCCAGCTCTGAAGGTGCGTTTTTCATTGTTAAAATACAATTTCCTGACAGTTTGGCGGTGCCTTCTGCAGTCTCCTTAGAGCGCATTTTTCGTTAACCTAATTTGTATCGCAATACGCCAGACATACGTTCAGCCATTCAAGTTGTGTAGTATATTATCTGGTGCTTTGGATTCATTTCTGTGGACATTTACTGGGAAACTACTTCAGGAAAACAAGAAGGAAGGAAATACTTTCAGAAAATACTGAGCTACACTAGACTTTCAAGGTCTTTTTAGACTATTTTTCACTCATTCATCAGAAAAAGCAATTTTAGTAAAAAAACCTGTTTGCATAAAACCTATCCTTTCACCTAAATATGCAGTTTAGATTGGGAAAATTTCAAATGGAGCTATGAAACCTTGAGATTATATGGTAACATACCAATCCAATACATTATTAGTATCTCTGGGATTAGATCATGGCCATGGAAGAACACAGGCATGGGAACTAATGACAAATTTAAGGTATTTTTTGTAGTATTTTAACTTCATCACTTGTATGCAGAATACTGGATACAGACTTAATGGCTGCATTTCCTTCCACTTTTTCCACAATCACATTTTGGTTTAAGCATTCCCCAAATGGTTCGTTAAAAACAAGTCCTGTTGCTGTGACTCTGCCAGAGGGGGTGGGATCCCAGGTCCTAACCCAGCCAGCTCCAGGATCTGTTTAACTGCCTCCCAGACATCAATGATCCCATTAGAAATTTGTTTTGACAGTAATGCAAATTTGCAACGAGGTAAATGATTTACCTGGTGTGCCTGCTCAGATCTGAAGAAAACTATTGCTTATACAGTGCAACAGCTCTTTGCAGTGAGGAAGTTGAAACACTCATTCTATCTAGAAACCCACCTGCATATGGCGAGCTGTCAGCACTCTGGATTTGTGTTCAGCAGAGTTTGTAAAAAGTTGACTTCAGCTTTCAAACTAAATCAAAACAGTATCAGTAACTGAACTTATAACTTGCTTGCCATCTGAAACTCCTTGCTTATACAGTGCAACAGCTCTTTGCAGTGAGGAAGTTGAAACACTCATTCTATCTAGAAACCCACCTGCATATGGCGAGCTGTCAGCACTCTGGATTTGTGTTCAGCAGAGTTTGTAAAAAGTTGACTTCAGCTTTCAAACTAAATCAAAACAGTATCAGTAACTGAACTTATAACTTGCTTGCCATCTGAAACTCCTCTGGTAGTCTCTGTTTCTCTGTAAAATCTGCTGACCCAACCGCTCAGCAGATTTCCCAGATACCAGGCCATTCATATGCAACATGCTGTGGTTTTCTTGACAGCGCTGAGTACCCTCAGCCCTCACCCAAATAAATGATCTTTGCTGGCATGCCTAGCATCTCCCAGCAGCAAGAGATGCTCACCGTCACCAATACTGCAATGGTTAGTCACTCTACAGTATTTGAGGTTTCTCTAGCACATGATATTTGAACTTACACCTTTTTTGATCAATGGTTATTTGTTAAGAAACAGCAATGACTTGCTCAGTACTGCATAAAATACAAAAACGTCCCTGCGTAACGGAAACTTACTGTGTGAAAAACAGACTATGCAAAAACACCTCCGGTGGAGAGGGAGAGGAAAAAAGAGGAGGAGAGAATTGTGTCAATTGTTATCTACTTCTTGCTACTTCCAAAGCACATTGTAACAAGACAGACACATGTTTTTGGTAGCAATTTAGACAAAGTCTGGGATTAGACCATGGCCACAGAAGAAAACAGGCATGGGAAGTGAGGACAAATGGCACAGTTAGTCCTGGGTTTCTGGAACAAAGATGTGGGAGACAAACACAAAGGAAAAAGATGAAGCTGTGAAAGTCCCCTTTGATACTATGGGCAAAGGTATAGAGACGGTACCTAAAGAGAGAAAGAAGGTATTGTAGGCATGATCACATTAACAAACATTGTGGTTTGGGTAGATGACAGAGAAGTATAATGGGAAACAAGAAGCACTTGGAGAGGTTTTAGTCATCAAATAATTTCTATTTCTAACTGTGCAGACTTAAACGCTAATAATGGTTGACCTAACAGAATTGTTTGCCGCAGTAACTTCACGACAAATACAATCCTGATATTAAAAAAACCCCTAACCCCCAACAACATAAAGGCATGAAAGTTAAAAGATGTTCCCACAGTAAACATTAAGAAGTGCTGCAACAAACCATATAGTGCATTAAAATACACAGGATTCATAATTAAACAGTATGTTATTCAAGGCAGGAGAGTTTTTGTTTCTTATTTGCTGTTGTACATTTTAAAAGGAGAACCACGCTCAATATACTTGCCTATGGGAATTTAGTATCACATTGAAGTATGTACCTTTCATTATTAAATTCTGGGCTTAGCCAGGTTTCTGAAGGAAAAAAAGGCTTTTGTGATTAAACTGTGGGTACGTCTGGGTGCACTTGTCTACCTAATAACTTCTGAACTTGGTGACTGAAATCAGTACGTTTTGAAAGCTGGGAGGACAGACTTCAAAAAGTAATTAATTTCCCCCCGCCAGGTTTCATGAAAGCAGGCAGCGGGTATAGAAATTGATGCCCTGTATGCCTCAGCTATAGGAAAAACTGCAGCGAGAGCTATATTGGAAAATTCCTGCAGGACAGACACCACCAGCCAGACTGTGGCCAGCTCCTGGCAGACAGCCTTGACATGTGCGCTATAGCGAGCTGCAGATGATTCCCCAGGAAATTTAAGTTCAGCCTGCCAGCCTGGTCAGCCGTTTGTACTACTCGCCAGCACCTGACGCAAGCCAGCCAGCTGCTCTCGGCCACTCAGCACATCATTTGGCTGCAAGTGCCCTCCAGACGTGTCTGGGGTCCTTGTCATCACCTCCTGTATTCTGATTCTTGCTGCTGGCCAGTCTGTTGAGTTTGGTCCAGCTCTCTGCTCTTTTTCTTGGTCCCTACCTGTAGTGCTGACTCCCTGGTGGTCTGATTTTAGCCCCACTCCTGACCAGCCTTCTCCTCTTCCCCTCAAATCTGGTATACTTCTGCCTCATGTGTTTGTTGACCTTCACTCAGATCCCAGCCATGCCCTTTCTTTCACTTGATCTTAGGCTTCTCTGTCTCCTGGGGATGACCCACTTTGATCACAACACTGGTTCTGACTCCACTGATTTCACCTGGCACCAACACTAGACCTGGCAAATCCATGTGCACGTCCCATCTTTCACCTCCCAAGCACCCAGCTGCCCACAGTCACTCACACATCACGCTGGAGTGAGACTAACTGCGTAAGGTGGGTCTCAAAACTCATTCTGAGAGCAGGTATAGCCTAAGAGAGTGGTTTCAAGAGACTTCTGGAGGATGTTAAACTCTGTGCAGTTCAGCTACAAATCACAAATCACAGATCCATAAAACACAAATATGCCTGAAAAAAGACTTCTGTAGCTCCAGCCTCTGTGAATCTACTGCTGCTTTGCAGTAACAAACTTTCACTATTGTGATTAAATTAGCACTGAATTGAATTGATAAAGGAAAACAAACACAACAGGAGGAACTTGAATGACATGATCAAAGTCCCTCAGGTTTCTGATTAATTGGCTCTGGCACTGAAGTAAACTACCAATTCCAGATTATACATAAATCATTAAAGTATTATGTAGTCACTTCAATAAATTAGTCCATGAGCAACATAAAATACTCCTCAGAAAAAAAGTTTTCACTAGCTAGTTGCATTGCTGAGTATGCAGGAAAATTTCTGCAGTACATTCCAGAAAACTAGTGGGGGGGGAAATAAAATCAACACTCATGCTAGGATTGTGCTGGATTTCTAATCATGTTCATGCCAGCAAATAAAAAGCTCTTCCTTAACTGAAACACTCATTTCATCATGGCACAAATCTAACAACTTACCTATCTCCCTTAGCTCATCATCATGTATTTTATAAGATTGTCACTCATGATTTGCTGGAACACTGAAATTTGCTGTGTGTCTAAATTCCAAATTTCAGTTAGGATTTTCTGTTCCATCAAAGAGACACAGCTGACACGGCTGACCAGTTCTAAACTTAGATTTGAGAACCTTTATCCTGTTTACATCAGAAAGATGTCAATTTTCAGGGAATAACATGAAGAGAGATCACAAAGCTCAACTCAGAATATTCTGTGGTTTCTCCCCCTTCATACATACCTTCATTTTCAGTATTGGCTGGAACAGAATCAACACCAAAGGGATGCCATGGCTGAAGGTCATCTAGGCTGAACTCGCCATCCACTGGAAGAAGCTCAACTGTGGTCTTAGTTTCCGTCAATGAAGGCATGAGAGCATCGTTTCCATAGCTGATTCTGGGTTCGCTGATCATATTGGCCAAAACATCATCAGAATAGTTTTGCTCTTTCTGAAGTAATTCATCTGCAAGGAAATTTCAACACACAAACTATCTGAAGGAGCCGGCATTTCTGAGGACCTATTTCCAATGCTATTAAAGTAATAATTTACTGTTACAACATTCTGTTTTCTTATAATAAAGAAAAACATAAAGGCTTGGAATAGTCAAAACTCTGTGATAAGCACTGCTGCTAAGTAAGGCTTTTTTTTGAAACATCAACCAGAATTGTTCAATACCATTTCTTACCCACATTTCCACCACATAACAGATCATAGGTCTGTGCTTTACAAGTCCCTGGACTCTTCCCCACCACTTTTAAAAGAAGCACAAATCAATTCCCTTCAACTAAACATGTTGCCATAAGTCAACACGCAAGAGGCCCACAGGAAGGAATGTCTTTTTTATTTGCCCTTCCTCTTAAATGCTCGCTATCGAAGCTCATCATAGCTTTTAAATCCCACATCACCACAACATCTGGCTTACTATAACACACTGAATATGAACAAACATTCATTCTTTTAACGTATGTAACTTTGCCAAAATACTGAAGTAGCTCTTTGCTAAAAATCTTAAGTAGTAGTAAGGGTCTGTAGGCAAATTATTTTATAAGCAACCAGTACCTAAAGCTGTGTAATGTTTTCTAGGTTGGTTTTTTTTGCACTTAAGCAGGGTGAGAACAATTAAAGCACGTTTCAGCTCCATCAGGTGTATAGGACAGACTATCCAACTCAGTGTTAAAAGTAAGCTTGGACGTTGTGTGTGCTTTGTTATTCCAACTCCCTTCTCACACCAAAGTTCATCTACTCTTGATCTTCCCCTTCACTTCCATTTTTTTTGTAGGAGCAACACACTACTTGTACGTACTTTGAGAGAACCTGGCGCACAAGAGCACATTAAAGTAAGCAAGCAATTACAATGAAGAAGATAACTGCTAATAATGCATCAATGTAATTAGTACATAGGCATTACAGAGCTAGACGGTTCAGAATCTAAGACTGTAAGGGTTACGCAAGCGCTTGCACACATGAGCACACACATGACAGCTGACGATACAAAAGCTTTTATTAAGACTGGCTTCTCTTTCACTTCGCTAAGGAACCCCCTGACTGTCACCCACATCAGAAACATGTAGCAATTCAGGGACAGGAATAACCACTCTACTTGATAGACCCTTTACGTCACCCCATAGGGGCTCACGTATTTCCCAGTATCATCAGTGAGAAAGTGCATCTACGTTTCTATACACACCAGAGCTTTATAGCCCTTAGTAAAATCTTTTGAATGTTACTTCCCTCCCAACCTTACACCATGCTGTACCACCACAGAAGTACACTGCACCCATGCAGCAGCCCTCAGTAAGGATTCCCAGCAACTCACAAGCATTAGAGCTGGCACTGCTTCAGTGCCTTTATCAACGATGATGTAGTAGGGCTCTGTTCTGCAATACGTCTCTTAAAGACCACCTCATAGTAAGATAGTTGATGTAACTCTCTGCCACCCCATTACTACACCAAATTCGGAACATAAAAACTAAACAAAAAGTTGTAACCCCAGCGCTGGGGTGAATATGGGTCTTGAATCTTGTAAAATAATGTTTCAAAACAAATTTTCCTGTTTAAACAGCAATTGCTTTAGTAGACAGTAAGCCTAATGTGTATACAAAATTTAGTTCTGTGACTTAATTTGTTCATTAGAATGACTTACTAGGACAGCATAGAAAGCCTACGTAACACTGAATTGTTTTTCCCTTCATGTTCATTTTATTGAAAACAGTATTATTTTGTAAGATACCTAATAAATCTTCAGCATGGAAGGCAAGCCCAATTTTTTTCTCCCCACTGCACTTACACTAATTCTTTATCAAATTAAAGCGTCTCCTTGTATCAGAGGAGAGACAGGTGAAGCACCTCAATATTCTGGGCAGATATTGTATCACATGACAGATGCTAATTTTCATTAGCTAGGGACGAAGAGACTTCACAAAAAGGGAGCTGGATGTAGGTGGCCTGAGTGAGAAGTCCAAGTGCATCGCAGGGAGCCACAGGCAATACCAGCTGAGCACATTACAATACCAAGTCATCACGAATTACAGGAAAGCGAGTACTACAGTGCTGCTGAGCATCTTAGTGCCTGCAAGCCTTTCGGACTCAGGAACCAGAAAGGTTCTGGGATGCAGCTCCCCTTGTTCCCGCTGTCCTCCCTGTCCCCAGGGGATCGTGTGGGGGAGCTGTGGAGAGCTGCAGCCCACGCAGCGGCAGCAGGGAGCGGCGCTGGGGCTGCTGTGCCTCAGTTGCCCCTTTTCTCTGGGCGGTGCCGATCTTCCACGACTCCTGTCCGTTCCCCACCGCTGATGCACTCTGTGTTACCTGCAGACAGCTCCTGCCCTTGGAAAGGGACAAACGGTGCACGGAGAGGAAGGAGCAGAGGGAGAAGGACCCGGCATCCAGCAGCGGAGCAGCGGCACCAGGGCTGGCACGGCACTCGCAGGGAGGTCATAGCACAGGCATGGCTGGGCCCGCCAGGCTGACAGCAAGGGGCATCTGACTCCCATCACGATATCCAAATCCCTAGAGGCTGGGAGGGATGCGTACACAAAGTCTCTCTCTCAATGCTACCCGACTAGGAGGATGTCGTTGCCAGCACTTGCAGGCTCCATTGTCTCCTGTTCAGCTGCGGTGCACAGCACGGACATTAACTGACCCGCACAATAGCTCAAGTGAGGCAGACAGATATTATAACCAATAGATTATGATCGCATCCATTTCACAAGCAAGGGAACAATGGCCAAAATGAATCAAGCCCATCTGACATGATGAATCAGACACTGAATGATAGTGAGAAATTGGAAGTTCCTGGCTTAGAAACTGTGCTGGAGTCCATCAGACTGAGGCAGCTGTGTCTGCATTGAGTAAATGATTTGCAAACAATTGTTTCAATCTCTGAACTGCTAAAAAAGTTTGCCCTAGGATTTCCAGTTATCGACACTAGCTGGCAAAGTCCAAGATCCATTTTTCAGTGTTGATTTTGTCTGAGTATTGATGGCTAGTTGAATCATCAGTTACGCTAATGGAAAGCCATACAACCTCGCTGTTACCCATCGATTCAGTATTCCCTCCCTTTTTCACAGTTGCCAACTCAACTCCCCCACCCTGCAAAAGACAATTCCCTAAATAAGCAGGGAGTACAGACATAGCTGGAGGCTAGGATGTGCATTCAAGACTGTTTCAGGGGTTTTCTTTGTGTGGTGAATATCTTCATTATTAGGTGCTGAAAATAGAGAGATTCTAGGCTGCTCTTCAAAATTTCATCTCCTGTCAAACACAGGACAAAAACCCCATGACAATCTTCCTATAATAAACTTTGTTACTGTTTTTGCTCAGCTCATTATCTCCTTGTAGCATTCTGCTAAGTCCTGCCATCGAGAAGAATAAGGAGGATGTCGAAACTTTTTGTCCCTCTGAGAGCATGTGCTCAAAAGCAACCATGACCTTGGGAAAAACCCATGCTCAGTTGGGACCTCAAACCTCCCAGCAGCTCTGGATTTGGTGTGAGGGCACACAACTGCTGCTTCTCCTTCAGGCACCCAAAGTTCCGCTTCTGGCACCCAAACCCTTTCTTTCTCAGGATGAGAGACAGGCTCACTTCTGGTACTTCAGTAAAATGCTTCTCAGACTTATCATCATCTCTAAGGAAGTTTCACTCATTCTTGGGCTCACTGCAGGCATTTCCCCATGAGCCATTACTACTCAACAGCACCTAGAAAAATTGAAGTGAAACATGTTTGGGGAACTAGATAGAAGGGTAATACCACAACAACCTCCTTTCAAGACTATTCTCTTATCCCACAAAGAGACACACGGAGCCAAAAGCAAAGAAGCAGCAGAGGAAAATAAATTAAATTTATTACAAAATCTTCTGGTGGATGCTGGATTGTTAGAAGCCATTCGTCCACAATGGCCCTAGACCACACTTCTACTTGAAAGGCTTTGCAAAGAGCACTGTACTAGCAGAGACACCATGAGAAATCCCAACAGAGGTGATGGGAATCTTAGAGTGGCAAAAGCCATGCTATTCTGTAACTTTATCTACTTTTTATTGGCATACAACATTGTTTCCAATGTTGGACTCTGGAGCATACTTACCCCAGCTCTTAACTGGCATAGCTATAATGACAGAAGTTTCATGTGGAACAGCTCCACTTGCTGCCCCAGAATGCCAGGAATCTATTAGTTATCTTTCAAACCATCATTTTTATTTAGTTCATTATTTAAAATTTCCAAAAGCAATTATAATATTTGTTTATTGTGTTTTCTTTTCAAGGAGCCTATCTACCAGATGAAAAGCTCTGCTGTCACTATCATGTGCAAGACTTTCGAATTTACTTGGAAGTTCAATAAAGCAATTTAAGGTCATAAACCAGATTAGAAACAAAGTGCACCCAAAACACCTCTTCTAAATACTAATTAAGACACCATCAAATTACATGCCACAGTTTTGATCCAACACCAAGCTTCCTTTGTAAAATGACATCTACATGATAGAATATATATTGATTCAACAAATACAGGTTTGAGAACCAGCTCAAATAAATTGGTACAAATGCAGAGTCTTATTGCCTCATATTCATCACCTTACTAGTCACCGTTCAGTCTGAATTGAACATGTGTTTTTCCCAAACTTACGGTTGCTTTTGAGCATGTGCTTTCAAAATGACAAAATTAGGAAGTGTCAGCAACCTTCTTATTCTTCTTAATGGCAGAAATTAGAGTGCTTGAGTCATAGCAACTGCTTCATTTGCACGTGCACACATATTATCTTATACCAGTTTGAAGACCGTTTAAATCATGCAAATGTTGTATGCCACAATTAGGATTCACTAAGAACATTTACACAATCATTTATTACAGTGCACGTGGTAAAAGGTAACATGTTTAGATGCAGCTTTCAGTTGTACGCCTACTTTATGGGCTAATTCAGTATGTCATAGTTCATAATCTTCAACACGAGCACGTGCCCAGAAGAG